CATTTTGATATCAAATGTTATTGTTATTACGCAAAAACTTTGCATTTTATTATTTATTTTTTATCTTCATTTTCATTCCCAAAGTGTGATCGAGGTAGTAAATTACATCTTTATTATCCTTTAATGAAAAATAGAATTAAGCTAATATATTTAAACATGATTCTCTTTTTAGACATTAAATGTTTACCCGTTTGATTTGTGGAGACTTTTATCACGTGATTTTATTTGACTTGTTATCACATATATATTCCGTCTCCGTTTAATAAATATAGTTAATTTACTATAATTCGGTGATGATTTTATATATATATATAAGAATAATCACATAGCATGAATTTTCGAACCAATTATAACCTTATCAATGTGATTAAAAAAGAACAAATTACTTAAACTAATGGCACGATAAAAGAACAGAATCAATTAATTATATGACTCTAACGCCCATTTCAAATATGATTTATAATATGAAATGATATTTTTTCCTTTGTTAAAAAGAAAGGTAAAATTATTGAGGCCAGAAACATCTAGAAAAAATAAGATTTTTTTTCTTTTACCTAAATGTTTCTAATTTGTGTACCAGCTGATTGATTGAATCGTTGACCACGCAATTAACCTCTATTTATTTTTATTTTTATTTTTTTTTTTGCAAATATAAATTTGAAACATCGAAGTGCACTACAAAAATTATTATGTGAATCGCGTCTATAAATGTGTTATTTAGAATAGAATATTTAATCTTAAATAACTTGACTGGTAAACTCTCAAACGATAATTGATATCACACTATCATAATTTTATATGGATGGAAAGCTCGGGCGCATAATGTCGTAACACAAATTTTGGACCCTGCTTTAGTAAGCCCATAAATAAAGTAATTTCGGAATATTTGTGAACACGAAGCAACATCTACTGCACAATGTTCTATTTTTATATATTCATTAAAATTAAATCTTTGTAAAGGAATTAAAGACTTTATTTAATAAACGTTTTGAATGTGACTAAAAAGTAAAACGTGCTATAAATTTGTCTGACAAAGAATCTTAATCAAGAGAAAGTTTATTATGGTTTATTTATTATTCACAAATATTGACAATTATATGCTCTGCAAACTTGAACACTTCTCTGTTGATAGTGCAGCATGAATTTCTTTTCTTATCCATGTGGTCTCATGTAAATTTTTTCACATATGAGATTACTGAATATACACCTTTATAACGAAACACAACATAAATGTGCTAAGTATATACGATGTTATTAGCAATCCGACTAGATCATAAAAAAAGACTAAAGAGGATATGAAAGAGAAAAAGGAAAACTTTAGCCGGTGAACAAATCAAAATATTCCTTTAATAAAACGCCAAATAAGCGATTTAAGCATTTCTATCGATAGATCACTGTTAATTATATTATTTATTATTCCTATTTATGCAACTTGTCAGACTTTACCGCCGATTATAGGCGCATACAATTCAATTTTTAAGACTGAAATGAAAATAATCAATAGAAAAGTATGTGTAATGACTTCAAATTCCCAATTTATTCGGCCCCTCGGTATGGCCAATCCGTCTAAAGATATTTATCCACTTGTTTTTACAATGCAGTTATGTACTTACAGATTACAGCGCTATGCAATAACCGATTAGATAGCTAAACAAAGGTTAAAAAACAAAGAGATAAGATCTACCATAATGACTTTTTATTGGACTGATTTACGTGTACTGATTATCGTTCCTAATTTAGAAATTTAGTTCTCGTAATCTATTGTTACCATTTTTATATTTTGTACTACCGATAAATTAATGATGTCAGAATACGTTATATAACTCGTGATTTATTACAGTACTTTAATCTATTGAGCAATCCTATACATTTTTCATTCATGATTTTAATATTATATCTGCATTAATTCACCACAACATACATGACAATATTTAAGGCTTCGAATTATAAATCAATTTATGTTACAACGGCGCGTGGATTGTCTTATTCATAGCAAGCTCTTGTCTATCATATGATAGGTAATGATAAAATCATGTCAGCAGAAAAACAAATGCTACTGCTTTTGGAAAAACCTTTTTCTGTTCTCCTTAACTCCGTTTTAATGCTTACAAATCGAAAATACCAAGTGGCACATCATATTCACATAAAAATACATGAATCGTTACGCATAGTAAAATAAATTTTACTCTCCATTCCGATTTGAAACAAAATGCAGCTACATGTTAGGTAGTTCATTATTACGGGTAAATACAATAAATTTCTTTCACACGTTTTTAGAAAATATGCCGTCTTGCTAATTTAGCTTACAATCAATTTAAGTTAGTGCCTTACAAATCTAATTAGCGTAATGAACACAATTTTCTAACTTTATTCAAAAGTAAAAGTCTGGACTTTACATGTGAGAAGGCCTTAAATTATTTTAAAACACGTTAAGACACAAAATTTATAGTACGTAATCAATTATATACCATGACAAGTGTCTGAAATTAGTGTTTTCAAAGTTCTCATGAGAACACTATTATAAATTTGTGCACATTAAATTTTTTTATACTGATCACTATTAAAAACTTTTTTGGAACAGTAATAATAATAGTGCTCTCATAAGTATATAATAAATAACTATAGCATTGTCATATAAAGCCAGAACCCGATAAATATACTTGTATTAATCTAAGCAATTTAATTATTTTTTTAATACTAAATGCAACTATAGTTTATATTTTCTATTTTCTAGTATACTGTATATATTGGTTGGTTTTTTTCGTGAACATAAAATCGTAGCCTGAGAACACCTACATCTATTGCACTGCACTGTTCTCATGATGACAGTATTGGATTTGAAATTTCGAACACTGATCATGACTCGTGAATTTTCTTTTTTTACTTAACCATTTTATTGTCACAAAAGTCAGAAATTTGTATAATATCTGAAAAAAAGTAATAAATTCAAGTTAAGTGCTAAACTAAAATTTACCAAAATTTTATCAGGAATTCTTCATATATGTCAAAGTTGGTAATAAAATGCGATTGTTGAGTTATAAATCGATGATATAATATTGAATAATAATGACGAAACTTTATTATACAATTTTTGAATAACGATGTTTATACGAAATGATAAAGCATAAGACTTTATTCTTTTTCTTTCATAATGTAAATAAATTATTCATGCGAGGTTAATTTTTTATTTGTGCTATCTTATCTATTCATTTTCTAATTTTTCCTCTTATTTTTTATGATTATCCTGGCATTACCTGATGAAGGCTTTAACCTTTCAAAGGTATTCGAATAATAATGCCTGACGAAATGGTTTCGTCAATGTCGTCTGACGAAACTTGACGATTTGACGTAACTACTGACGATTGACGAAACTTTTGACGAAATTAATTTGACCAATAAAATATAAAAATACAGCTGCCCATCTTTCAACAAGTTCCTCTTTCAAAAAGCTCCTCTATAACGACCGCTGGGTATTCCAAATCTTGGATTTTTCAAAGCTACCACTATTTCTTCATAAAGTATTTCGTCGATCTCTTCTTCGTCAGATCTATCGGATACATTCGGGGAAGTAATGCAAATCATCGGGTAATATCGGATAAAGGCGTCAAAAATGAAATAGAAATTGGATAGACATGATAATGAACAAAAAATTAGGTTCATGACTAATTTATTGTTGCATAATGAAATCAGATCATAATGAAATTTAACTTATTTTATATCCAATTTTTAAATTTTTTTGGGCCTTTTTTGTTGGTTTTTTTTTTATAGTTAAGTTAGGGTTTAGGGCAGGGTTGGTGCATTTAACCATTGGGACGAATAGAGAACAACTCCATTGACATTACAGTACTCCATTGAGAATAATTTCTGAATGGAGCAAATGGAAGCCAACCAACTCCATTGGCATTGATCCGTTTGACCTGTTTATCATCAGGTCGAGCTATTGGTAAAAATTAGAACCCTATTCTTCATGGGCTTTGTTAGATATTTCTATTGTAGCCATTATCTCCATTAGGTTCTCCATTAGTATCATTTGCTCCATTCACTCCATTCACTCCATCGTCTCAATTGGTAATTATCTCAATGGTTTAGAGTTGGAATTATTAGGAAAAGAGTATAAGTACTTTTTGGTATTTTATTTGAGACCCCTAATTTCACAACATCGGGAAATTTTTCTTAGTGCAGTTCTGTGCAGCTTTGCAAAAAAATTAAATACTAAATCAAATGAAAATCTGCGCAAACCTTCAAAATAATAACTATATATGCAGAAATTAAATACAATTCTGTAAAAACTTCAATTTCTAGAAAATTTTACAGATTTTTTGCAAAAAATCTGCGAAAATCTGCGAAAATACAGAGTTTTGCAGATTTACACTTATTTAATTTCCCCGATGAATGATCTGATTTAATTATGATTAATTAGCTTTCAATGACTCCTAAAGGATAAATAACCTTCTTTAGTTTTTCTTACATTTGTTATATAAGATTTATGTTTCTTCATGCATGAGTTCCGTCACGAAACCGTTTCGTCATTCGTCAGTGGCGAAAGGTTTCGTCATTCGCCAGGCATCATTAATTCGAAAAGTCCAAAGATGGAAATTAATATCATGTAATGTAAAACTAAAATTAACTATTGTATAAGTTTGTTAATTTCTGAACAGTTAATTTTTTTTTATAAAATTACAAATTTTTTTTTATGTAGAACGATGAAGCTTTATCTGATTTTGAGAAGAATTAAGTTTACTGTAAAGAATTTGGAGTTTATTATAAAGAATCTCGTGAAAAGAAGGTTAATTGTATTTTTAATATTTTATTGATCTAATTTATACAAGAATTTGTCAATAGTCATGGACCTCATCAAACTAACGACGAAACTTTACGTCATTGTAAAATAATAAAATCATTTCACTATGACATTAATTTGGAACAATTTAATGCCAAAATTATTATTTGAAAAATTTTCAGATTAAAATATAGGTAGAATGTTTTTCATTGTACAATGATTATGGATGTGCTACTGTATTTGCTAGCAATGGCTCGTAGATGGAAGTATTCTTCCAATATTTGTAACGTGAATAAAGTACATATGAAAGATAATAACAAAAAAGGCCAAGAATAAATCCAAATAAAATAGTGGGCAGAAGATTTTGTTCAATTGTTGGATTATTCGACAATAAGCGGATTTCAACATTGGTAAGTGTTGAATCATAATAACACACATTGTCTAGACCATTTCCTATAATGAAGTCGATAGTCTCATTTTTTCTGACTGCAATTGCTGTCTCGTACGACTTAAGATCTCCAATACCAAATATGTCTGTTTCCCAAAGTGTCAGGAAATTGTTATATACAATATAACCTCCCGTATGCGTGAAATTTGCATGGTCATCAATATGCGTGAATATAACGCTTAGAGCATAATTTCCGTCTACCGGTGCAGTAAACCTCGCTACAGAAAATTTACCATCACAAGAAGGATGCATATTAATACTATGTGCTGGATATTTAATCTTACTACTACCAACATCTAAAATGGTAGTTATTGGATTAAGATTGTAAGATAAACTTGGACCGCCTTCAGGGGGGGTCCAAAAGATAATTCCACTATCTTGTGGGTCCAATGTTAAGTGCGTAAATAAAACAAACGACCCAGTAACTTGATAACCGGGTGGTTTATAACCATAGGACCACACTGAATAAGAATTTATAGTAGAAAACTCAGCGCTTAATGACCATGCTGAAGCCATAATTTTCTATAATAAAGTTATCAGTATTGTCTGTTTGCACACGTAAGGATTCAAAAGTTTTCCAGAATTTCTTTAGATAATGCCAGTGGGCGTAATACGTACATACATGTGTACTACTGTAATGTACACTAAAATTTTACACGAAGCATCCTATTCAGTAAAGTGGCTGTTTCACATCGAATGATTATTTAATTTAGAGATCTTTCAAGCGATTTGAATAAAATCTGATTTTTTTTTTGGCGAAGGTTTGCATTCGTTTTATATAAAAAGGAAAGCAAGAGCATTATAGAAAATGGAAGTAGTTTAGGTTAGAATCTCATTGTTCAAATGATCGTGCTATGTTAAATGCTTTATTATTTTGCGTAATATTATTTCTTTCCGAAATTTTTACAAGTGCTCTAAACTTAGTTTGCGCATCTTGTTTTTAAACATATAATTTTTGGGTTTGTTTTTTTTTCTTTTTTTATCAAATGTTTTACTAGGTTAGTAACTAGCTTCGTCGAATAACGGTAGTAATTTGATCACAATCAAAACATCAATCGGTTAAACGAACCGATTCGACCGGGTACAGCCTGTTTTATAATTTTTTACAGGGGGATCCCTAAAATTCCTGGTCGGAATGCATCGGAATGCGTCGTGGTTAGGGTTTTAGGGTTAGCCATTCCGGTTAGCAGGAGCTATAGTAAAATTATCAGCTGGGCATTTTTTACTTAATGAATGACTATGATTTCATTAGTAAAATTCTTACTGATCTTGGGCAAAATCGTTTAATTCCGGCCTATCCGGCCAATGTTCCGATGCATTCCGACCAGGAATTTTGGGGATCTCCCAGTATGAGTTTGTTTTATAGTGTGAACCACGGAAGCACTTGGCCAAACGTAAATCGAGGTGACGCGGAAACGGCCCACGGGGATAGATTAGTTGCGCAACCAAAATTCAGCAGATAGGCCCGAATTTAGGGTCGGAATAGGCCGGAGCTTGACCGGCATTAAGCAATAATACTGGCTAACCATACTATAGCAAAATTAGTAGCCGAGCAATTTTGCTTAATATATAGGCTGCCAGTTTATTGGTAAAAATTTAGAAAAGATTTATCAACTCCGGCCTATTCCGACCCTAAATTCGGGCCGATCTGCTGAATTTTGGTTGCGCTATACCAGGAACGGAGTACAAAGTACGTAGTGTATGGTTTACTGGCAAGTTAATGTGTCTGCGCAATTCTCAGCATCTAATTGGATAATTAATCCTCGTGACTTGAATTCTATATTTATACATAATATGAACTTTTTATACATTATCATTTATCATTTAAGTCTAAGAATAAAGAGAAAGTAGATCCATTCTCATGATTTGAATTTCCATACTTAAATCTTTTTTGTATACATACATTTATACCTGATATATAAATATCACGAAGTGTATGGTTATAAGGCATTTTTAATGATGTAAGTACGTACGTATGTACGTCCGAAAATCTTATAGTTGATTGGTTAATGCGTCAAATAGAGTAAAACTGTGAAAAATTGTGCTTAACCTTCACGATTATGCATCGTGTGGCTGTGCATTAGTAATTAAGATTTCTAAATTTGCTTATTGTACAGGTTTTGTCTTGATTTTTTTCATGATGCGTTCTAGTATGATTTCGACTAGTGCTATCCGAATATATTTGTTTGGCGTCATACGTAGGAGAAAAATGTGGCGTGAAATAATTTAAATTTGTGGGATAGGCAGGTTTT